AGAGAGACAGAGACAGGGGAGAGCACCTTGACCCATGGACTGGACTCCCATTGTTTTGTTCTGGCTCATTTCAAGGCCTCTCAGTCTCTTTCCTGACCCAAATAATGCCTCAATATTATAAAACCAGCTTCGACCTTGTGTGCTCTCTGCAAAGGTCTTGGGACCAACTGGGGGAATCCACAGCCAAGGTTGCTAGCCAAAGCCTTTGATTAGATGAGAACTCCAGGAAATAAGAGCAAGAAATGTTCCAGTCAAATCCAACTCATTTAATGAAAGGGACCCAGCTTCTTTATAAACATCTGAATTTCTTCTGGATCCATCACTTCTTCCTAGAATCAACACTATCAAGAATAAAGGAGCAGGGTCAAGTAATCCAGGCTTGATGGTACACCCCTGTAACCCAAGCACTCAGAAGGCTGAGGCAAGAGGATTGCTGTGTGAGGCCAGACCTGACTAAAGAAATGAGTTCAAGGCCTGCCTGAACTACACAGCAAGACCTTGTCTCAAAAACATAAAACAAAAACAGAAAGGAATTAAAAAAAAAAAAAAAAAGTAACCTTGTTTTGGAGGAGCTTAAATTCCCAGCCAGGAATCTGTCCCCAGAATTAGTTCCTTTTAGTAGTGAAGGGCAGACATGGAAATATATATAAAATTATACTTAGTCCCCACCAAATCCTGGGCCACCACACAGTGTCACATTGGTCCTCTTCAAGTTCCTCCAATGTGAGGCTCACACCAGTCTTCACATTAGATGTTCCCTTTGTCTGGAGTGTCCACCCCCTGGTCCTTGCTGCCAACTATTTACAGTTGAGTGGTCACCTCCCCTGGGAAGCCTTCCTGACTGTCTTATTGACTGTCTCACTGTACGCTATCAAGTACAAATAAACCCAGATTGAATTTTACTTCTTCACCCTGGTCTCTCTCCTGACCACTGTAAGAGAGCTGGGACTGCCAGGAAGGTAACCTGGAACAGTCCAAATAGAAAGTGAATGAAGATGCTTGTTAGCCAGGTGGCTGCAATCACAGAGTGGTACACACCTGTAATTCCAGCACTTGGAAAGGCTGAGGCACAAGGATTACAAGTTTGAGCCCAGTCAGGGCAATTTAGCAACAGAGTGAGACTCTGTCTCAAAATAAAAAATAGAAAAGGGGCTGGACATGTAGCTCAGTGTGAGGGCCTGGGTTCAATCCTCAGTACTCAGGGAGGGTAGTAGGTAACTGGGACAGAAAGCAGAACAGGGGATGGGCTCCCTGGTGTTGGACAGCGCCCACATAGAGTAGACCCAGGGTGAGAACTGAGAAGGTGGTTTCCTCTTCTGGGTGGCCCCCACAAGCCCTGCAGTCTCCAGCTGAGAGCCTTGCCCCTGTACTGAGGCTATCAGACTCTGCTCTCTTGGTTCTGAGCTAAGAAGTCCTAGGCCTGACTGCAGCCCTGGGCGTTCTTTGTGCAACAATTCTGTATTCCCCCTACCCCAGCTGTCCTTGTCTGGCAGCGTCATCTGAAGCACCTTCCAAACTAGGAAGAAGGGATTGGCTAAGGTGAACTCTGTGATTTAACAAATGCTCAGCAACTGGCCTCTAACAGAACATGTGGATTACTAAGTTTTGTGCCATTTGAGGAATTACAGGAACAGGCCCCCATTCTGCAGTGCCTCCGCCACCCAGCTGCCTCAAACTTCTATTTGAGAGTCTCTTTCTCCTATGGGGGTTATTTTGTTTTCTTCTCTTTTGTTCTCTTCTTTCTTTTTGTGCTGAGGCTTGCACCCAGACCTACACACTGAGCTACACTCCCATCCCTCTTTTATGAAAGCAAGAGACATGAAAAGGAATATTGTGGGACTGTCCTGCTTCAAGGTTGTATATGGTTAGATTTTTGGACTTATGTGTAAACATAAGAAGTATATAATTCTTTATGGCTATTTTTAAAAATATATTCTAATTTTTTAATTTTTTATCATATTCTGTAGGGACTTAAAGTTCAACATATCAATACTTGATGAAAAATACCTGTTCCATGTTATGCCTAAGGTGTTTGATATTCAGACAGATAGTGAGATTAAGCTTAACAGCCTAGGTTGTATGGTAATAACAATAAGCTTGTCTTCTGGAGGGTTAACAACCTAAGTTTGCAGACCAAAATTAGAGAAAAAGGAGGGCCGCAAGTAAAGCCAACATTTTGGCCCTAGCCTTCCAAAGTCAATTAAGACTCAGGACATATGAGAAATTGTACTGTTATGTCATGTAACTCGGTAGTGTCCCAAATTTTCTGATCAAGGAGATTATGGGGCCAAAGAGGAAAGTGATTTATGGTGTAGAGTGTGCCTAAGGAGAGTCACATGGAGGGAAAACATTCTCTCAGGCTTTCACAGAGAGCACATTGGCCAAGCAATGGCCGTGACTCATCCACATGGCTGACACTGACAAAGGTTCTACAGTCTGAGGTATAGGATCTCAGTATAAATCCTGAGGGGATTTCACTGACCTTATCAGACCCAAAAGCTACAAGTCTTGTTGCATAGGTCCTGCTTTACCTTGGTCTTAACCATCCAGCAGAAAAGTATAAAAATGAAGTATAAGAAGTAAAGCCATGCTGTTATGTTGAGCTGTAGGGGACTCAGGTCAACAATTTCTGACATTGCCAGTCAAGCAGAAAACCCAATACTATTATGGGCTACTGGACTCTTTTAGAATATTTTGCTGAGTTTACAAACCTATAATATTCAAATAATGGAACTTAACAAAAAAAGGTATACCGATGAATGTCCATTTTGTATCTGTGTATTCAAAGTGGTTAGGATATATATATAGTTACATTCTTTTAATGAATACAGTGATTTGTTCTAATGGTGTTTGTAAATAGGATATCATGTCCGCATCTTGTACAGCAATTAACCACTAGGAAGAATGTATGCAATGTGTTAATTATTGAAACGGTCCTACCAATTTGATTTGAAAAAAAAATAATAACAACAACAATAAACAACAAAAAATATGTAAATTAAAAAATATATTTTTTATTTTGAGACAAGGTTTCACAGAGTGGCTCAGGCTGGGCTTTAATTTGCAGTCCTCCTGCCTCAGCAGGTTTTATCACAGCCAACTATTTGTATTTTTCAAAGCTAGATATAGATATAGATATAGATACAGATATAGATATAGATATATTCTAATCCTTTCAAAGGATTTCATTTTCCACCTCCTCTAAGCATTTATATTCTGAAGCAACTTTACCATTTTAATAAGTTGTTTCAGAAGGGATCATCTCTTAAATCTCCAAATAGGTTTACAAACAGTCCTTTCTTACATTTTCTTTAAAAGCAAACAAACCAAATCAACCTTTCTTTTTTGTTAAATTACAAAAGTAATGTGTTTTGTACCACTTGCTATAACAAAGTAAGCAACCTAGTGCACAGATCTGTAATCCCAGCACTCTGGGGGGCTAAGGCAGGAGGACAAGTTTGAGCCTGGGCCGGACAGTTTAGCAATTTAGCAGTTGAGTGAGGCCCTGTCTCAAAATCAAAAACCAAAGGGTGGGGGAGGGCTAGGGCTATAACTCAGTGTGAAACCCCAGGACTATAAAAACAAACAAACAAAGACTAACCCACAGAAGTTCATAATGAGAAAGAAAGTCCCTCTGCCCCTTGTTTTCACCTCTACCTCCCGCCACCTCTGCAGATTGTGAAGGCATTCCTGGACTACTCACAGTTTCATCAGTTGTCTGGCTACCAAGAGATGTGGTTCGCCTACGAGATCAAGGCCATGGAGCGAGTCTGCCGGCTCCCAGTGGACAGCGAGGCCATCGAGATGGTGGCCTATGTGGCTGACACCCTGGGCCACATCAAGTTCGTCATGGGCCACCTGGACTTGGCCATCGAGTTAGGTAAGGGCCAGCGGGACTGAGAGCCAGAGGAAGATACAAAGAAGACTGCAGCCCAGCATCCAGGGGTTCTTTTCTTCCCAGGTTTCCGGGCTCACAAGATGTGGGCCCTACTCCAGAACCCCAACACCTACTGCTCCGTGCTTAGTACACTCTCCGGCTCCCTGCTGCTGAGGAACAGGTACTCGCCTCAAAGCAGTTCCCCATGTTAGGAAGCCCCGTGTGGTGTGTTTCTGGGTTCCTTGTGCCCTGGCCAAGGGGCAGCAGGACTCTCCCATGGGCATAGTCTCTCCTGGGTGGCTCTGCCTGGTGGCTCAAGATCAGAAGGGAGTTGTTCACCTCCCATGGAAATCTGGCCTCCCACCTGCCAGGTGGGGAGAAAGGGACTGTTTCCTGGAGGGGGAGAGAGTCAGGGGGGAGCACCCAGGGCTGAAGGTTTGGGCCAGCATGGAGGACTCTGAAAGGACACAGACAGAAAGCCAGTGGGAGGTCAGGGCTGGGTTGGTAGTTTCAAAATCTGTTTATGAGCTATTTTAGGAGCCAGATGTGACAGTGCACATCTGTAATCCCAGCACCCTAGGAAGCTGAGGTAAGAGGATTAAAAGTTTGAACCTGGCCTGCACAATTTGGTCATTTATCAAGACCTTGGATCAGAAATAAAAAAATAAAAAGGCTGAGGGTAAAGCTCTAGGCAAAGGCCCTGGGTTCAATCTCCAGTACCAGGTGTGTTGTATTTCATTTTAAATTACTGGGCAGGACTAAGAGGATACCTGGCCTGGACTTCCTCTCTCTTCTCCTCTCTTTGGACACTTTTTTAAAAAATGTATTTAATATAGGGGCTACAGGGTCTCACTATGTAGTTTGAATTTGTAGTGATCCTCCTGTTTTCAGCCTCCCAAGTGCTGGGATTATGGGCATGCGCCACAATGTCCAGTCTTGATCACTGCCTCAACCTACCCCCGGGAGTGGGGCCAGCACGGTTTGCAGTGCCGGGGATCAAACCCCAGTCCCTGCGTTCTGCCTAAGCAGGTGCTTTAGTCCAATGAGCTATCTGGCCGGCTCTCTTTAGACATGTTCAATCCCACCACCTTTTCTTTGCCAACAGATACAAGCAACTGATCCAGGTGCTGGAGTTGCTGTGGCAACTGTCTGAGGAGGAAGAGCACATTTTCAGCAAGGCCTGCTTCTATGTCTTCTGCTTGGAAATCATGCTTTATTGTGGTGTGTGTGGCTTTGGATTGCAAAGCAACAGAGTGGGCAGCCCGTGTGCTGGCCTAAGGAGGCAGGGGTGGGGGCTGGGGGAATGCAGCACCAGGAGCGGGAGTGGGCAGTGGTGTGGGCCACGGGCCATGCAGCAGGCGCCGAGATGGCTGGGGAGCTTCGGGGAGGACGGTCCAGGCAGAGCACTCTAGCTAAGGGAGAGTGGGCAGTGCTGCCTTAGTAGGGGCCTTTCACTAAGGGTATTTAATTTGTAGCAGGTGTACTTAGGGACGCCATGTCCCGAGCCAGCGGGTCAGTCAACGAAGGTCATCTGGGAGAGGAGCGGGGAAGTGAGGAGGGGACAAAGGACAGGAAACGCGAGAAACGGAGACAAGACAGGATTCTGATCAAGTCTCATTTATTCAAAGGAAACTCTGGGTATATATAGTGGAGGTATAGGGAAATGACTTCAGCAGGTAAAAGGCGCGAGTAACTAGGCAACCGGGCTATGACAGGAAGTCCCACCTCCGGGGCATAGCAGGAGACTTATGGGAATTAGGCGGGGTAAGAAGAATTAGGAGTTTAGTTTAGCAGAGGTAGGGGAAGAGGAACCCGGAAACCCACTTGCAATAGGATTGGAGGCCTGGAATTATTGAGCCTCCCACAATGCCGTGCTTCAGGACTAAGGGTCGGATGGCTGCTGCTGAGAGTGCCAGACCCTCGGTAGCTCTTGGTCATTTGGAATACAAGCTCTTTCCTTGTGGCCTTCAAATGTCATCCCGTAGGAAGCCCTCTGTATACATATTAAACCAGAAGAACAGCAGGCGTGGTGGCACAGGCCTATAATCACAGCAGTTGGGAGGCTGAAGCAGGAGGGCTCTCTACAAGTTCGAGACCAGCCTGAATTACACAACAACTGTCACAAACAAATACAAACAAACAAACAAACAACCAGAAAAACCAACCAGGGAGTTTGTTGCCTGTACATGTGATGATGAAATGGGCTACACATATTTCCACCAATATAGGGACAAGGGTGGAAAGAGGAATAAGCTGCAGGCTATGCTAAGGTCTCGTCTGTATACTTGGGCCAGGTAGGGTGGTTTGAGCTCAGCTCCTGATCTGTATCCGGAAGCTGCCTCAGATACACTTCATTTCCACAGTAGCTGGGCTGCAGCCCTCGAAGGGCAGTGCAGCGAGGTGGCTGTTGAGTCCCTGCAGATTCACCAAGTAGTGGCAAATTCTCTGAGCAGTGGGAGCCTCGAGGCCAGGATGACCACCTCCTGCTGCCAGCAAGCTCAGCCACTTCTCTCTCTGGTAGGCTTTGTGTACAGACCTTTCGATGAGTGCCTGCAGTTCCTAAACCTCTACGAGGACACCACCATCCTCACGTTCCAGAGCGGAGTCCTCCTGAGCTTTTACTCGGCCCTGGCTATCTGGTAATGGTCGGCCGTGTGACACTTGGCTGCCCCAGTGAAAACGTTGCGTCCTGAAAAGTTAGCTAGGGAAAAAAAAAATTTTTAAAGAAAAAAAAAATCAGGCCCAGGGAGATAGCTCAATAGAATAAGCACTTGCCTGGCAGGTACAAGGACCTGAGTTCAATCCCTGGTTCTGGAAAAAAAAAAAAAAAAATCCTTTATAATGTGTGTGTGAGACAGCTCGAAGGTGTCAGGGTAGATTGTGTAGGTCTCCACCCTCCTAGTTGTGCGCGATAAGAAAGGACGTAAGAAAGGAGAAGCCAGGTGGGAGAGATAGCTTAGAAGCATAAGTGCCTGCCTGGCAAGGGCAAGGTCCTGAGTTTAATCCCCAGTACCAAAAAAAAAAAAAAAAAAAAAAAAAAAAAAAGGAGAAGCCTGCGGGACAGACAGCCTCCTCTG